GGTCGACCGGCCATTGTGCTGGTCGATCGGCCATTTTTGCTAGCCGAACCCTGTCCATCTGCTTTACGCAGATATTTTGTGCCAGCTGGCACAGCTGGCACCCATTATTCACCCCCTCCATATTTGCCTCTTGTTTAGCTTCTCTTGGAAGCTTGAGGATTTGAGCCTCTATAAAGAGGGAGCCCCTCCTCCCTCCTCCAGGGTTCAGAAAATTAGGGTTAGAGAGTGAGATATAGTTTTATATCTATACTCCCTTGTTTGATCCTATTTTGTGCCTCAAAAGTTAGTTTTTGTCTTACTTTTGCACTTGAGCACCTAGCATTACACCATCCTTGGGTTGTTGAGGCATTAGAGGGTTGTTGTTAGGGTTCTTGAGTTGATTTTGATCAGAGAAACCTGCTGGAGTGGTGTTCTTGAAGAGGTTCTACAAGGGTGAGTTCCTTACTTTTGTTACCCCATTTTGGCTTAGGCTTTTAGCCATTCTTGCTTATTGTTTTAAGCTTCGACTATAACTAATAAAAGTTCTAATTTTGTGTGCTTTAGAACTTTGTTTAAAGTCACTTTGAGGTTTGGGGTTGTCTCCCCCCCCTCCAAGGCCCTGTTAGGCCTTGTTTTAGGCCATACCTTTTGGCCATTGTTTTAGTCTTTGCATGACCTCTCTACCACTGAAATCCAGACGATTTTTAGTGGTGGAGACGTGGTTTTGAGGTACTAAATAGGAGAGGGTCATCCCCTCTCCTTGTTGTCTTTAATGCTTGCATAAATGGCTTATGTGGTAGCATGTGTGTTTAACTTGTTTTAGCTTCATTTCAGTATGTATTAGGCTTTGTTTTGCCATGATACACCTCTGTTTTGAGTTGGTTTAGACATGCCATGTATGCTTCATACACTTGTCTTGTAATCCCATGATTTGGCCTTAAGATGCATCATGTTGTAACATGTGTTTTTAGCATGATCTTGGCTCAACTCCATGAAGCTTTTAGCCTTGTTGTAGCATGCTTAAGCTCTGTTTTTCATTGTTTTGGTCATACTTGCATTGTTTTGTATATCCACCATGCAATCTAGCTTGTTAGCTTTAAGTGTCCAAGTTGCTAGCATGCCCTATTTGGATCGTTTCAGTAGTTTGGCATCACTTGTAATGTTATTTCAGTCCATATTCTATGCTTATAAACTTACACTTATCACTCCTTTAATGCCTTAAAGAGTTGTGGTCTTATGCTTCTTGAACGAATCATTGCGTATGCTTCCATGCTTAGGCCATTTGGATGCCATCTAAGTGTGTTTTTGGCCTTGTCTCGACCTGCGTTGGGACTGTTTTGAGTCCCTTTCACCCTTTGGGACTTGCCTTGTATGGCCATGGTTTGAGCCTCTTGGTTAGCCTTAGGCCTTGGACCTTCTTGCATGCTTTGCTTGCTTTACTTGGTTGATTTGGCATCATTCCTTACATATTTTCAGAGCTTAATGCATTGCCATATTCTCATATTTATCGCATCTTGCTCATGCTTGAAGAGTGTGCATGGTTGCCTAAATGTTGGACCACTCACATGTGCATGATCGTTTTGCATTTTCATGCCTCCAATTCTTCACTTTGGCCACTATTTTGGACCTATTAGAGAGTTGTCTATCTTGGTGTAAGTCCATCCTTTGCATGTTGTTGCATGCTTGCCTTGTATGTTGTTGCATACTCGGCTCATTGCATGTTATTGCATGCTTAAGTTGCATTTTGCATCCTCGTTAGCTTGCATTTTGCCATATGTTTGGTATGTTGTTACATGTTTGCATGTTTGTTCACATGCTCATGTTGCATTGGTTTGCTTGCATGTTTAGGGTGCATAACATTGTGCATGTTTGCATCACTTGCCTCTTGATAAATCATGATAGAGGTTGGGGCTCTTCTACGTATTTGTGTGCATTTCATTTGACATCAAAATGCACATTTAGCACCTTGGGTCATCATGCATTGGAATGTGTGATTGATGGCCCGAGGATCGAGAACCATACTCCTTTGAGTCTCAAACATGATGAGGAGGGTGGTTGTGCAAACATTTCCTTGAAAATGCATTGTCATGCTCTGTTTGCCCTCTACTACAGCAAAAACAGCATTCTGCAGGAAAAGATGGCCGATCGGCTATCCGTAGTGCCGATCGGCTGATTATTGTTGGTCGAGAGCCTTACCAATGGTTGATGACCATTTTCCCATGGCCGGTGACTTCATATCTTGGCCGATGGCATCTTACAGCACCCAGAAGGTGATCCAAAAGCATCCTTGAGACTTTTGCAGTCCTCAGAGGTGCAGAGCAGTGTAAACAGATGTAACATGAGTACGGTGATGGATTTCCGAGTGAAGTCGACCATGCATGCATTTGTCCCTCTTCCCGAGGCCTCTTTACTGCTTTAGTAGCTTAGTTAATTTGTTTAATTAGTTAAGTGTTGTGTAATATTTAATTAGCTTGTTAGTTAATTAATTTGTATTATTCTTTCGGTCCCTTCCTCGAGAGGGCGCAAATGTGTAATAAGCGTGCGTGTGTGTGATGCATGTCTTCCAACCTCCACTTCTTTCTCCCTTTTACTTAACCGTTTACGATGGTTAGTTCTAGGGCACGTTTCAATTAGCATCTTTATGCTATGTATGTTTGCATCATTCATCTGTATTGCATGCACCGGGCTCGGCGCATCATACTAGCTGCATTGTATTTAAATTCCAAGTTGAATACATGTATTGAATTGTTGCATCTCACGTGCCATTTTAGATTAGCTGAGCCTATTCTAGTTGCATTTTTGCCTGCGATGCATTAGCCATCTTAACATGGACTTGGATCATGCATTTGATTACTAACATGTTCTTTGTTTTGGCTCGGAGTACACTGTAAGTGTTTATGCTTTAGCATCTTGCATGTATGTGAGTGTTAACATGACGGCATGCTTGCCATGAGGCTAATTGCTTGTGATATAATTGTTTGAATGCCTGCGGGTGAAGGTTGGATTACTTGAATTGGATCAATTCATCGAAATCCGTGTTTTAGCTTACTCGCGAGTAGCAAACCTCAAACCATTTTCCAAACAAATGGATATGCGATGCCTTGTTTCAAATTGGGCGATCTAGTATATACTTGTGTGTTGTGAGCATCACATAGTAAATTCTAGCTAATTAACCGGAATAAGAACGCATGTGTTTTCAAAAACTCGATATCATGCTTAGTACAGGCCGATCTTCGGATCGGGCGAGCGGGGGTGCTCATAGATGACCTTCCTCAATCGTACCCAAGTTCCCGAGCCGAGGCAACTTTGGTGATGATGGACACGTGGCCTTAGGCAACGAGTCAGGGTTTCCTAAATTCCCCGAAAATAAAATATTTAGGTGGCGACTCTGTATCTGGCAAAGCAGTCCATGTTTGGCACTTCTTTCTTAAAAATCTGTTTTCCAAAATGATTTGCCGGATTTGGACTCTTTGGTGATTTATCGGTCTTGCATTGCACATTGCGAGATCAGATTAAGAACCGCGACAAATGAGTCTGAACTGTGGTAGCATAAGGCCCGAGGGCGCGTCCACACCGATATACTCACAAAAGTGGTTTCTGGGATCAAGTTTCAACATTGTTTGGACTTGGTCAACATCTCTCGGAACTAAGCACCTTCGGATGCAAGGCAGTGTTGATCGATCACTATGGACAGAGGGCAAAGGCATGATAGTCAAGGGCATCCCAACAGGGGGTACAGGACATCCAATCAGGGGGTGTATGATATCTTGGTTACACAAGTTCAAGCATAGCAGGTGAAGACATCCGAGACAGGAAACGTGGAAGAGATCTATGGGAGATAGGAGCAGAGGCTCTCTCAAAATCAGAGAGTGGTGTGAGTTAAGTTGAGGATGTAGGATTCCCTCCTTCTTTTGTATCTCTGGTGTATAATCTCTAGCTTCAGGGGATGCAGCGTCTCAGTGAGGAGATGCAGACTATGTTAAATTTGGGCGTGACAGGATTGGCAGCAGTGCGTGCATTGGATCACCTCACATGGGTTGAGGGGGTGATTTGTTGATATCACCCCATGTGAGGGGTGATTTCCTTTCAATGTGAAGTCAGCTCCAACAATGTCCTCGATTGCAGCTGCCAACCGACAAGCCGCAAAGGTAGACGATCCACCTTTGTTGAATGACCAGCTGGCCATGTGCAAGGCCAGCCAGCTCTCTCCCTTCTCAGTGTATAAATAGAGGTAGAGAGAGCAGAGGGAAATGTGGTGAGTGGTGAGTTCAAAAAGAGAATACAATGAGTGACTATTAGTGTGTAATTCTTCCATTTCTCCATATAGTGAAATCCGCTGCCCGTGGACGTAGGCGACTTGCCGAACCACGTTAAATCTCTTGTGTTATTGCTTGTGTGTGTTTCCTGGTGTGCCCCCGATCCCCAACAATTCAATGATCTACAAATCCCATATTGCATTTCCAAAGTCAAAGAATAGCCAAGACCCAAAACAGTTAAATGTAATACTAGCACAACCAGAACCAAGCAAGTATGAAACCCCACCACCACCCCAGCCAAGCCCCTAAACAATTAAGCTAAAACCAGCATAACCACAGCCCATGTAATCAGGAGAAATTATTTAGTTGTAGGAACAAATCTATTTGGTGGTCCAATTTCCACAATAATTACTTTACATAATAAGGACCATCACTTTTGTGTGAATATTTTAAAAGACAACATAAGATACGTTAATTAATAAATAATATAGAGCATTATTTCAGGAGTACTAAACAATTTTTTTTGTAGCCAGTGGTGGTGAGCCTTGACACAGCATTTTGTGGAGAACATGCAACATCATTCTATGATCTTAGAACATCCAACACTCAAATCATGTCTATAAAAGCTCCTGATTAAGCATTGTCTAGCTCATCCAAAACTGCTTAGAGAAATCTAGTGAACAAAATATGGGTTCCTCTTTGCATCTCTTTCTATTCATGCATTTACTCTTCTTATCACTCTCTTGCTTTCATCTTGTAATAATAATGGCTAACTCTTTGTCTGCTGAGCAGCCACTATGCCATGCAGACGAGAGCTCCGCCTTGCTGCAATTCAAGCAAAGCTTTTCAATTGACAAATCAACTTCTAGTGATCCTTCTACTTATCCGAAGGTTGCATCATGGAAGCTTGAAGGAGATAGTGGCCATTGCTGCTCATGGGATGGCGTTGAATGCGATCAGGAGACGGGTCATGTGATTGGCCTTGACCTCAGCAACAGTTTCCTCTACGGTTCTATCAATTCAAGCAGCAGCCTCTACAGCCTAGTTCACCTTCAGCGACTTAACCTTGCTTATAATGACTTCGATTACTCTTGCATTCCATCAGAAATTGGCCATCTCTCAGGGCTAACAAGTCTCAACTTTTCCTCCTCTGTATTTTCCGGTCAAATCCCTTCGGAAATCTCAAAATTGTCCAAATTGGTTTCCATTGATCTTTCTTTCAATGTAGACTCATCAAATGCAGGAGGACTGAAACTTGAAAAGCCTGGTCTGAGAAGCCTACTTCAAAACTTGACTAACCTCAAAGTGCTTCGTCTCAATGACGTGAGCATATCTTCTGAAGTACCTGATACATTGGCCAAATTAACTTCCTTGACAGCTCTCGTTCTTGAAAATTGTGGGTTGCGTGGCGAGTTTCCAATAAGCATATTTTATCTGCCAAACCTTCAAATTCTTGATGTAAGTTTGAATGGATATCTCACTGGCCATTTGCCCGAATTTCATCCAAGTAGCCCCCTTCAGCATTTGATGCTTTCTTATAACAGCTTTTCGAGGAAGCTACCGGATTCGATTGGAAATCTTAATTTCCTGAATCAATTAAATTTCTCTGGCTGCTATTTTCCAGGGTCCCTTCCAGCTTCACTCGGTAATTTGACCCAACTCAATTACGTGTCGCTTTCATCCAACAAGTTTAATGTATGGACTCTACAATTACTTGGTAAGCTAACTGAACTCACTGACTTGGAGCTTAGGGACCTCAATCTATACGGTTCGATCCCATCAGTTCTTTCAAACCTAACTCAACTTACTTATTTAGACCTGTCCTCCAATCACTTAAGTGGTGAAATAATATCTCTTATAACCAACCTAACCCATCTAATTTCGCTAGATCTTTCAATAAATCAATTGCGAAGCCCAACCCCAAGGTCATTATCTGAGCTAAAGAATCTTGAAACTCTAGATCTCACTTTCAATAACCTCAGTGGCTTCGAACTTGAAATTTTTCTGATGCTCAAAAATCTTATTTTTCTCGATTTGTCTGGTAACAATTTAACAGTTCTAACCAAAAAAACTTCAATTAACACTCTTAACAAATTAAAGGTGTTAGAGTTGAATTCATGCAACTCGAGGAAATTCTAAAATTTCTTGCACTTCCAAGACAAACTTGATATTTTATCTCTTGCTGAAAACAAAATTCATGGCAAAATTCTGGCATGGATGTTGAATATAGGTGTAGAAATATATCTTCGGAATAACTCTTAAACAGGCTTTGAGAAAAATCCAGATATCCTTCCATGGGATAATTTACTCAAGTTAGACCTTTCTTATAACAGGCTACAAGGACCGCTGCCAATTCCACCATTATCCACTTGCTCTTATAGTGTCTCACACAGCGGATTGACAGGAAAACTTCCACCATTGATCTGTCAATTGAGTTCTCTTTATGTTTTTGATTTGTCTAATAACAACTTGACTGGAACTATTCTTCCATGTTTGAGTAACTTCAGTGATTCTTTGAAAGTCCTAAATCTCAAAGGCAACAACTTTCAGGGTCCCATTCCTCACTCATACAATAGAGGAAACAAATTGAAGATGATTGACTTCAGTGATAATAAATTACAGGGGAAGGTGCCAAGATCATTGGCAAGTTGTACCGAGCTTGAGATTCTTGATCTCTCAAATAATCTGATTGACAATGCATTCCCCTTATGGTTAGGAGATCTTACAAAGTTACAGGTTCTCATCTTGCGATCCAACAAATTCTATGGTGCTATAGGGAATCACAAAATTAAGTTAGAGTTACCAAATTTGCACATCATTGACCTCTCTCATAATGGTTTTACCGGCGATTTGCCATCAAAATACTTTCAAAATTGGAATGTAGTGAAATTTTTTGATGTCGACAAGATGAAATATATGGACACAATCATTAAAGTTCGCACGAACAATGACATTTGGGGTGATGGCTATTGGTACACAATGAACATTACAAACAAAGGTGTAAATACAGAATATCAGGAGATCCTGAATGTCTTCACTGTCATTGATCTCTCAAGCAACAAATTTGAAAGGTTGATTCCAGAATTTATTGGTGTTAGTATATTATTATATGTTAGTGTTTAGCTTTAATAATTAGTGTCCCCTTGCTTTATGCTTTCGGTGCCTCAACTTAGCATTCTATGCTTTCATCTCCTCTCTATAAAGAGAGTGTTCATCTTCTTGTAAAAATGTACAGAAATATAAAGTTATTCATTTGCTATCTCCTCTCTTTCTCAAATTATTGTTACTTGGTATCAGAGTTAGGTTAAGAACTTAGTATTTTTCGCTTCACCGGCGGGCGACAACCTCGCCTTGGCCGCCCGCCGGACCTCAACCTAGTCCGCTAGAATTTTCTACACATACCTTCACTCTTCTTCACCACCTCGCCGAAGCAAACCCAAAATCCCTCTGGGACATTTCGTCGAACACCATGTCTGCAACAATGATTGGCATGACACACACACTGAGATGAGGCTGCTAACCCACAACATGCTATCATCCAACATCAAGGGGGTCACCAATGGCTTCCCTCTCCGAATCGAAGTCCAGAAAGTGATCGAAAAGCCTGTGGATTTCAACCCCGATTTTCTTCGACACATGTTCCCCAAGATCGACTGGAACGCTCTCGTCGGAGCCTCTTAGACCATGGGCTACCCTGACCTTCCCGACTTCGCTGACGCCGCCATGCTCGACTCCGACGACTTTCTCCGGCACTTCCATCACTCCCTTCTCAAGCTCCACCTCGAAGAGGGCGCCCTCCTCTGCCCCAAGACCGTCCGTCGATTCCCAGTCATCAAGGGCATCCCCAACACTCATCTTCATCACAGCTTCAAGCAACGCCGCAGTCTCTGTTATCGAAGACCCACGCCACCTTGCACACCATCAGCGGCCACAGCCGATGTTGGCGTGATACCAACCGCGACGCCACACAGTGGGTTCTCTCTGTATACTCCACACAGTGGCTTCACCTGAACTGATGTTCCCATCTCTCTCCTTACCAACTTGTTTGGTCACCTTTTCTCTCTCTAGACATGCTCTCTGCCAAGAGCTCTACAAAAGAAACCTTGGCCCCTATGAGACACCCCCCTCTACAGTGTACATGCTCGCAGATGACATCAAATCTACATCAATTGAGGCTCACGCATAGCAGCAGCAGTCCTTGGAAGCTTTTGGCATGCAAAAGCATCCAATACACTTGCCAAGTTGAACGTGTGACATGCACACTATCATCCACGATCCGTCTCGCAATCTATGAGATGAGCTCATGCTCAGCTTTGCTTCATCTTCTCAGCCACCACCTTTGCACCGATCCACCTGCATTGCCACGGGTGATAGAGAGAGGGCCATTGACCTCTCCTCTCTCTCTCTCTCACTTTACACCCACTCTCTCAATCCGGCAAACAGATTTTCTCTCTCTCTCACATTAAACCCTCTCTTTTCCTTTCTTTTTATTTTAATATTGACATCCACTACATTTTGTCTTTCAGTAAAAGCAAGTGTATGCCTCCACCCATAGAAACAGATTTTCTCTCTCTCTCACTTTAAACCCTCTCTTTTCCTTTCTTTTTATTTTAATATTGACATCCACTACATTTTGTCTTTCAGTAAAAGCAAGTGTATGCCTCCACCCATAGAAACAGATTTTCTCTCTCTCTCACTTTAAACCCTCACTTTTCCTTTCTTTTTATTTTAATATTAACATCCACTACATTTTGTCTTTCAGTAAAAGTAACCTGTCTCCACTCCCGTTTGAATTTTCCTCTTTTTTTCTTTCTTTTGCCTTTTCTTATCATGACACACACATGGCATGTTCCTCAGCCTTTTGACAAGTTATTTTTCTTTTTCTTCTTCTTATCCCCGTATTTATCATTTTCGTTTTTCATATATATATATATATA